CATCTCTCTCTTTTTTCACTCTCTCACATCTCTCTCATTCTCTCTCTCGCTCTCTCTCTCATCTCTCTCTTTCTTTTGCTCTCTCATCTCTCTTCTTTTTTCACTCTCTCATCTCTCTCTCCCTCTCTCATCTCATTCTCTTACTCTCTCCCTCTCTCTCTCTCTCTCCTGTCTGTTTATATATCTATTTCCACAGCAACATCTCCACAAAGACCGTCATACAGACAAACAAACACACAGAAAAGTCAGAGAAATACACAGAAATAGTGAAACAAATCAAAACAAAAAAAATCCAAAGCAAAGTTTAAACCATCGTTACTTTGGGAGAATTATAATGATTTTCCTGATAATTCAAACATTTCGGAGTTTGGGATAAAAGTGCACGAATCTCCATGCAAAAGTTTAGGTTAACGATCGGAGAAGCAAAGGTCAGTTGGATCTAAATTCATACGAGTAATACGCGGTGTGTAGAAGATACACACACACACATACACAATCTCTCTCTCCTCTCTCTCTCTCTTTCCTTCTCTCTCTCTCTCTCTCTCTCTCTCTCTCTCTCTCTCTCTCTCTCTACATATATATATATATATATATATATATATATATATATATTATATATTATATATATATATATATTATATATATATATGTGTGTGTGTGTGTGTGTGTGTACGTATATACCTATATATATATCAATATCTTTAAATGCACACACACACACACACTCACACACACACACGCGAGCGCGCACACACACACAAACCACACACACAGATATATTTGTGTATATTCCTCTTTCTTTTTCCTCTCTCTCTCTTTCCCTCCCTCTCTATCCCCCCCTTCTCCCTCTCTCTCTCCCTCCCTCCATCCCCCCTTCACTCTCTCTCTCCTCCCCCCTCCCTCCCTCCTCACTCTCTCCCTCCTTCCTTCCCTCCCTCCCTCCCTCTCCCCCCCCCCTCCCCCATCCCTCTCTCTCTCTAGGAATTCACTCAAAGCTAAGGATTCCCGCTAATCGCCTCAGAACCAATTGCAGATTCCAGCGACTGCGAGGTTACAGGAATTCCCAGGAACGGGCCGAGTTCCTCCGCGTCACGTGACATAGCGGTTCACACGATGGCCATTTAAGCGGCTGCAAAATATTACTTGAGATGATCATACTTTATAGGATCACTTCTATAGTGCGATTGCCGGGTTTCTCGCCAATTCTCGGAATTACTTGAGTGCAGTGGCAAGCGAGATAGAGTGAGAAGTGGCCATTTCAGCGGCTGCAAAATATTACTTGAGTGCAATGGCAAGCGAGATAGAGTGAGAAGTGGCCATTTCAGCGGCTGCGAAGTATGACGCGAGTGCAATGGCAAGCGAGGTAGAGATAGAGTGAGAAGTGTGGAGCGTTATAAGAGGGACGGAGTTACAAAATTTCGTTTCGTTCGTTACAGAATCCCCATTGTTCGTTATTAGGATGAGAGGTTCGTTCTAATTCATGAACTCTACGCATTCTACGCACTCTACGCACTTTACGCATTCTACGCACTCTACGCACTTTGCAGCATTGCGAGTTTGCATGAGGTCTTTGACGTGCTTATTAGAGTTTTCATTCAGTGTGCGATTCCGTTGCAGATAAGGCTTTTAGTGTAAACGCTCTCACAGGAAAAAAAGAGAGAAAAAAGGAAAAAAAATGAAGAGAGAGAGAGAGAGGGGAGAGAGAGAGAGAGAGAAGAGAGAGAGAGAGAGAGAGAGAGAGAGAGAGAGAGAGAGAGAGAGAGAGAGAGAGAGAGAGAGAGAGAGAGAGAGAGATGTATATATATATATATATATATATATATATATATATATATATATATATATATATAGATAGAGAGAGAGATGAGAGAGAGAGAGAGAGAGAGAGAGAGAGAGAGACAGACAGAGAGAGAATGAGAGAGAGAGAGAGAGAGAGAGAGGAGAGAGAGAGAGAGAGAGAGAGAGAGAGAGAGAGAGAGAGAGAGAGAGAGAGAGAGAGAGAGAGAGTTAGAGAGAGAAAAACTTGTAAAAGGATTGAATATAACGAAACATGCTTTGCAAGATAGCGAGCTGGGGTATCTGAAGCTTTGTTTGAAGCCTTGCACACACGCACACAAAACAGACAAACACATACACAACACACACGCACACTTAAGACACGCGAACCCAAATAAACGGATACACTCATGTACAAAGAATCAATCCGAAATACCGAGGAAGAAAACCAAGAATTGATAAAGGAGATGTTTGGGAATCCAAGCTAAGCGATTCAGACATGTTTCGGACAAGTTAGTCATTGTGTGCTTCGAAACAACGAGCTCCCCCAAAACAAGTCATATTTCTGTGTGTATGTTTGTTCTCTTTCTCTGTGTTCTTTATTTCTGTTCTTGTAGTGGGTTGTGTCGATAGTGATTTAATGACTACATAATAATGATAAACCTCTCTCTTTTACCTCCCTCTCTCTTCTCCCTCTCCCTCCTTCCCTCCACTCCCTTCCACT